GAGCCAAAAGTAAAGTGCACCAAAAGACTAGTAATATATACCTTATAGTTAATGAGAAAAATTAAATTACAGTTACCTCTGGATGGTTCCTAACCAGCATCATCTAAGCATAACAATGTAAGGAATCTCTTGAAAAACCAGCACACTATATTAAAGAAAAGTCTTGTCAAATAATATTGGGAACAAAATAAACACAGATTTGAATGAAAGACTTAAATCATTGATCTTTTGAAGAAATAACTATCATTAAATTATTAATATTTATTATAAGTAGCCATATAATAACAGCTCAAAATTTTTATAACCTAAAACATTTAATCAATTGAAAATTCTAAGGGAATCTTTCACAAAGAGATCTGTTTGCTTTTGATCAAGCCACAAAAGAAACTAAACTCAATGTAAAAGGATTATCCCCACCTCTCTTTCAACGTGTAAGCAATTACACTGCAGATAGGAAAGCAGAGAAAACGTACATTTATTAAGTATCTACTCTGTGCAAGTTCCTACTGAGTATTTCTTCATCACAATAAGCTGCTGACTCAGCATTATAAAGCATCGGTTTCAAAGCAAGTAAGAAGTAGACAGGACTGAATCCCAAATGATTCAGGCTCCAAAGTGATACTCTTGCTAATACACTGCCCCACCAACCTAAATATCCTTTCTTGGTCTTAACAGACCAAAAGGAAAACTTTGAGAATACCATCTGGTTGCCTCAGTAACACTCTACTTCTGATCATTTCACAAAATCGACTATTCAATATGCCTAAGAGCAAAAACGATTTCTGATCTTCAAACTATGCAGGCACTAATTTGAGCATCTACTCTAATAAATTATGAAAATTATACACAAGACTCAAACACAGATGGAAAGCCATCTTTATTTACTGCACATTAAAGCTGTAGAATCAGAAAGTACAATAAGAACAGAAATTTGCTCAAAATCAAATCCTCAAAAGAAAACAATACACCTATGTTTATTGGCAACCCACTCCAGTATTCTTGCCTGGAGAATCCTGTGGACGGAGGATCCTGGTGGGCTGCTGTCCATAGGGTCGCACAGAGTCAGATTCGACTGAAGCGACTTAGCATGCATGCATGCATGTTTACTACAAGTGCAAAGAAAGCTGATAACATTCATGATATGGTCATCTGAGTTCATATTTGCACAGCAAGGGTTATGCTGGCTTAATTAAATACTGGTGCACGTACTGAAACAATAAAGTAAGTATACTGTTTAATTATTTGCCTTGTTCTCTAGATTATCAATATATTTTAACCCAGCTGTTTTTGCCTTGCCACTAAAATCTCTTGTCATTATGACTTTTGGGTAGTCTGGATGTTAAAACAAATGTTAATGTTTTTTAAATGTGTTATAAATGGAAAACTTTTTAATACATTATAACTCACACAGTTTTGTATATTTTATATATTTGGGATTTAATAAACATGCTAATTATCATTTGTATTTCTGTGATATCAGTTGTGACATGATCTCTTTCATTTTTTATTTGAGTCCTCTCTTTTTCCTTTGTGAATTTAGCTAACTATAGGCATGTCAACTTTTTTTTATCTCTTCAGAAAATCAGCTCTTGGCTTCATTGATTTTCTTGATTGTATTTTTATTCTTTATTCCATTTATTTCTGTTCTAATTTTTATTTGCTTCCTTCTACTAACTTCAACTTCATTCATTTTTCTTTTTCTAGTTTGTTAAAGGCAGAAAGTCAGGTTATTTATTTAAGCCTCTTCTTGTTTCTTAAGGCAAGCGCCTATCACTATGAACTCCCTTCCTGGAACTGCTTTTGTTGCATCCCACAAGTTTTGGTATGTTATATTTCCAGTTTCATTTGTCTCAAGGTACTTTTTAATTTCTTTCTTTATTTTTTCTTTCATTCATTGATATTACTCAGTAGCATGCTGTTTAATCTCAACATCTATGAATTTTCCAGTTTTCTTTGTGTAATTACTTTCAAGTTTCATACCACTGTGGTCAGAAAAATATGCTTGATATAATTTCAATCCTTTTAATTCATTAAGACTTGTTTCATGGCCTAAAATACAATCTATTCTAGAAAATGTTCCATTTACACTTGAGAAGAATATATTCTATTGCTTTAAGAGGAAATATTCTATATATATCTCTTAAATTCATCTGGCTCATCTGTCATTTAAGGCTAATGTTTCCTTACTGACTTTCTGTCTGGATGAGCTATCCATTGATGTAGTGGGGCATTAAAATTCCCTACTATTATTGTATTACTGATTACTTCTCCCTTTAGGTATGTTAATATTTTCTTAATGTATTTACCTTTATATATATTAGGTGCATAAATATTTACAAATGTTAAATCCTCTTGTTGGACTGACCACTTTATTATATAAAAGTCATCTTTGTCTCTTTTGACATTGTTTAAGGAGTATTTTGTCTGATTAGTATAGCTACCTCAGCTTTCAATTTCCATTTGCATGGAGTATCTTTTTCCATCCCTTCACTTTCAGTTTGTGTGTGTATTTATATCTAAAGTGAGTGAACTCTAGGTAGTATTTAGATGGATCCTGTTTTCAAACTATATTATAAAGCTATAGTAATTAAAACAGTATGGTATTCACATAAAATAGACATATAGATCAATGGGACAGAATGCTGTTATTGTTTAGTTGCTAAGTCATGTCTACCTCTTTTGTTACCACATGGACTACAGCCTGCCAGATTCCTCTGTCCTTAGGATTTCCCAAGCAAGAATACTGGAGTGGTTGCTATTGCCTTCTCCAAGGGATCTTTCAAACCCGGGGATCACACCTGCATCTCCTGCATTAGCAGGCAGATTCTCCACCACCGAGCCACCAGGGAAGCTCACGGAACAGAATAGCGAACCCCAAAATAAACCCACACATGTATGGTTAATCAATTTATGACAAAGGTGTCAAGAATATACACTGAGGAATGGATAGTCTCTTCAATATATAGTGTTGGCTACTTACAACAGCTGAGACATGGAAGCAACTTAATTGTCCATTGACAGAAGAATGGATAAAGAAGAAGGTCTTACTGTATAGCACAGGGAAGTCTGCTCAATGTTATGTAGTAGCCTGGGTGGATGGAAAGTTTCGAGGAGAATGGATAAATGTATATGCATGGCTGCATCCCTTTGCTGTCCACTTGAAACTACAACAACATTGTTAATCAGTTATACGCCAATATAAAATAAGCTAAGTGAGACAAGTGCTTGGGCCTGACGCACTGGGAAGACCCAGAGGGATCGGGTAGAGAGGGAGGTGGGAGGGGGGATAGGGATGGGGAATACATGTAAATCCATGGCTGACTCATGTCAATGTATGACAAAAATCACTACAGTATTGTAAAGTAATTAGCCTCCAACTAATAAAAATAAATGGAAAAAAATAAATAAATAAGTTAAAAAAAAGAAGATGTGCTATGTATATACAATGGACTATTACTCAGTCATAAAAAAAGAATGCAATAATGACATTTTAGAAACAAGGATGGATCAAGAGATTAGGTCCATACTAAGTGAAGTAAGCCAGACAGTGAAAGGCAAATATGATATGATACTGCTTATACATGAAATCTGAATGGAAGTACTACTTGCAAATCAGACATTTGGTAAGATATATAATTTTATATCCAAAATGCATAAAGAGGCCATACAACTCACAGGAAAAAAAGCATACAATCCTATTCAAAGTGGGCAGAAAATCTGTATAGATATTTTTCCAAAGAAGGCATACGGAAGACCAACATCACTAATCATCAGGAAAATGCAAATCAAAACCACAATAAGGTAACATCTCACAACTGCTATAAAAGCTATTATCAAAAAGACAAAATATATCAAGTGCTGGTGAGGATGGTTTGGTTGAAGCTTCCTGTGCAACTTTGATGGATCAGTCATTTAGCAGACTTCAGTCTCTTTTAAAATAAGGAGCCCATGGAGATTATGTAAATAATTTAAAACCATGGACTTCCAAGTTAAGACATGAAAAGAACTTAAATCTGCCTTACCTTGGAAAATAGTAAGAACATAATCAATTCTTAACCTTAGCAGAAATTAATCTATCTAGTAGTTAGCTAACAAAAGACATGACTCAGAGAGTGGGGAAGAGAACAGCTGCATTCTGAGAAGGATGGGGAGACGGGAAGGGAAGTCTCTAAGCATGAATCCTGGCTAGAATCAGATCCACACCCATCTGGCTGTCACCATCTCCTCCAGCACACTCTCTCCCCAGCCCCCAGGCTGTTCCCTTAGGATCCCTGTAACCTTCTACAGGACCTATTACATGTGGCCTTGTAAGGTCTTCTATCTCCCTGCAGATGTAAAAATCCTCACGAACAGGGAACATATCCTATTCTTTGTATTTCCTCTAACATCTATCACTAGGCCTCATGCAGAGAAGATGTTCAACAAAGGCAAGCTGTTTGAATAGAGTGATGAAAAATCTCCAGTGAAGACTTGTCAGCAAACAGGAGTTTGTCAAGTATTTGAAAAAGAAAATGCTAAACAAAGCTAAACCCCAGCTAAGAAACAGACTTTCTTGCTTCACAATTTTGCTTGTGGTTTACAGGTACATTTTGAAAGTGAAGTCGCTCAGTCGTGTCTGACTCTTTCCGACCACATGGACTGTAGCCTACCAGGCTCCTCCATCCATGGGATTTTCCAGGCAAGAGTACTAGAGTGGGTTCCCATTTCTTTCTCCAGGGGATCTTCCCAACCCAGGGATTGAACTCAGGTCTCCTGCATTGCAGGCAGATGCTGCGCCACATGAGCTACCATAGAATACACCAGCCTAATTAGGAATGCAAAAGCAGATTTACATGCTGATACAGTCTTCCTTACTTCAATAATCAGCACTTAAATATATTCAATAGCTTTTTACAGAAATTCACATTTGTGTGGGACACAGAAAAATCAGATGGAAACAATTTTGAAGTCACTTTTGAACACATCCTCTTTCATCCTGACAGCATTCGGTGGTGTCTTACCTGCTCTCCTTTCTGTCCAGGTGAGCCTGCTTCTCCATGAGCAGAAATGAATTCTGTGTTAACACATATTCTGTCACACTGAACTAAATACATATAGTTTATAAATCAGCTGACAATAGCAAGACAAAGCTTTGCTCTCCTGGGAGCTGATACAGATCCCTCTGCAGGGAGTCTCTTCTCCCCCTGCCAAAGGCTCACTACCCACCTCTTGCAAACACCTGCCAGCATCATCTCCTCCTGGAGACCTGTCATGGGCTGGGACGCATGCTCTCCTCCACACCCCCTGCACCTCGTATAGCCTTTCTCACAGAGCTCACACTGCAGTACTGGTTGCTAGAGGAAATGTAAGGTTCCTCTAAACTTCTAACTCACCTTCCTCCCCACTCCTCCAGCCAGGACGGGAAGTGGTAGCAGGAAGCCCTGAGCCTGAGCATGCAAGAAGTAACAGCACCTCGGACCTCTAGGAGCTAGGACAAGTTTTCCTACCCTTGAGTACTGGTATAAGGGAAACTGTCCAGAGGTCACTCAGCCTACTTCAAGGACAGGTCTCATAATGCCATCAACATCCACAAAAGACATTCATGTCCCTCAATGGACCCAGGCTTCCTGACCAGGAAAGGGCAAGCGAAACAAATTCTTTGGGCAATCACAGCCCTTCTGCATTTCCCATACAACTCACAGCAGAGGGGAAGTCTGGGTGGGTATTTGGAGTGGACAGATGCAGTCTCCACAGCACAGAGATACACTGGGTGGAGCACCGTTGGATGTGTTGGAGGGCAGGCACTGTGACTCCCTCAGCTTGTGAACTTCCAAAAGTGAAAGTGAAGTGCTCAGTCGTGTCTGACTCTCAGCGACCCTATGGACTGTCGCCTACCAGCCTCCTCCATCCATGGGGTTTTCCAGGCAAGAGTCCTGGAGTGGCTGCCACTTTCTTCTCCAGAATTTCCATGACTGAAGCCTATTCCTGGCATGTGTTTCATCCTGTCGTACAGGTGGTTCCTCCCTTTATTTTCCTTTTCATTCTACTTCCCTCCCAGGAAAGAAGGTCAGATGGCCTCAGAACTATCCAGATTGAAATCCAGGGAATCCTAACCCCAAGCCTTTCTCTTTAACCCACCCAGGGACGGAGGGGCCCAGGCACCTGAGTCAACGCACAGCAGATGGCAAGCTGCGTTCTGCGCACAGGGCCACACTCACAGGCCTGGCTCATAGTGTGGAGTGGCTTTCCCGTGGGCACAGGTGAAGAGCATACCTTGAGTGGCACGCACTGGCACTGGTCTGTGAGTCCCTGCTTTGCTGGCAGGAATGCAGATATTCTGCTGGCATGAGCAGGTGCTGGTGATGCTGCAGGACCTCCAAAGCCAGGCTGCTCTGGGCACTGAAATCCAGAAAGAGACTTTAGGATACAGAGTCAATTCCAAACACTGTGACGTTCCCAGCGCTGACTCCCACCAAACTAGGCATGGTTGGGTTTACCCGCAAGAACTTGCTTCTAACAACCAAGGGTTCATACCAGCATGTGAAAGTCCATAACGACTTTGCCCTTTCACTAGCCTCCTGTGTTTCTATTACAACGACAACATACTAGAATTGTATTAAAATGCCAGGTCTGGTGAGAAATTCTAAAGCTATTACATGTGACTTTATGACAAGTCAACATCAAATATTTATAAGAATTGAATTGTTAACAGTAAAATGTTTTACACAAATAACATTGGTATATCTGTTCTGGAAACAAATTTAGAAAAAAAGAATGTAATTCGAACTTTTAAAACATTGTTTACTTCAACAAGATGATGATAAAGACATGTAAAAGTAAAAAATAAACTCTTTTATGCTCTAAGATGGTATATAGTTACTCAAAATATGTATATCTTATTCCATTCCATTGTTCTATAAAGTTATTAAAATCTTCCCTGTAACAAAGTGATGACTTTTATCACTTCTCCAATGGGTTCATAAGGTGTGGGGTCACATGAAGTAAAATTTGGTTACAAAGCAATGAACTTTTTTTCTATCAAAAAATAAACCCAGATGGAGCATTTGAAGAAGATAAATGTTTCCTTTCCCCTCAACATCATTTACAAGAGTCCTTACCACGGTCTGTAACTCTGAATCTGCATTTTCATGAATTTACAATTTCATATCTCTGAATCTGCAGTTTATGGGGAAGGCTTCACACATTACTTTATATACTTCAAATCATATATGCCTGGGAAAATATTGTCAGGATACAAAATTAAAATATTGTCCGTGGTTATTTATTGTGGTGATATCACAATTGATATTCATTTCCTTCTTTGAAGCTGTCTATGTTTTCCAAATTTTACATAGTAAACATACATTGCTTTTCAAACCAAAAAAATTTGAAAAATTGGTAGTTCTAATGCTTTTGAGCACAGTAAACACTATAAGAAAAATAGCTCCCAGAAAAACTGTGAATAGTTTCCTGTCTTTTTCACTAGTTCTATCAAATTTACTGTCTGCAGATTTAATGATTAGCTATTTAGTTATTGACATTAAACTTCCAAGTCTATGAGTCTAAAAATTACATTAGAATGAAATACACAGGATTATCACTAAAACGGTCCATTTATCTCATATGATTTGATACAGTTTTCCAGCCAGGTCCTGCCCTGTGCCCCATGGGTTCAGTTAAGGTAATTAAGATGCAGTTGAAGCTCACAATTTTGTTCTGGTAACTGATTCACTACTTTACATTGGGATTTAAATGGCTTTAAAAACACGTCTCCGGCTTCACTATAAAACTGCCCACACATTCCAAACAGTGCCAACAGGGAGCAAAAGACGTACAAGTAGGGACCCCTTTCTTCATAAAACCTCTGGTTTTGATTTCAGTTAATTAGCCCTTCAACATTTTAGTAATCTCTTTCATTTATTTTCAGCAAATGTTGCTGATTTTCTCCTTTTCTCCTTATTTATTCTTCATTCTCTCTGTCTAGGTCTGTAGTCATGAAACCTGACTGCTTCAGAAAAAGAAAATCTAATTAATAGCAGCAAGGAAGTATATTTATAGATTATACTGAATAAATTTCACTTTTGAAATATGCTATAAAATATTAATAACAGAAAGGATGTCTGAGTTGAAATTACAGGACAAAATTAGATTTTTAAGCAAGTATATTAAAATTTCCTAAGTTCAAATATTAAAAAAATATATAGTTGATGCCAGAATGATGGCAAATGTACTGAATTAGCTTTCCAAAACATACATTTCCATTAAACATAAATGCAGCATGTTCTATTTCCTGTTAAACAGGAACAGAATGGTAATGTCCCCCATAAATACTTGTGAGCAGGAAAAGAGGTCTTTTATAATTTTTTTCAAGCTTGGAGATGAATTCCTATCTTATTTTCTACTCTTTAAAACTAAATCCCTTTAAAACATGATTTTTTTCATAATGTGTGGGGTCATGTCACTGCTTTTAATTCCAAATTTAATTCCAAATCATACCACTGAATGCATTCGCCTATTTCCTTAAACAATTTTCTTGTAATTCAAGTTGGAGCGACTGTTGGTAAAGAATATAATATTGATGTACATCAAAACATCATTACATGAAAAATAAAGAGAAAGTAAGGAATCAATACCATTAACCATTGCAACAAAAAGAATAAAATATCTAGAAATAAACCTACCTAAGGAGAAAAAGACCTGTATACAGAAAACTATAAGACACTGATGAAAGAAATCAAAGATGATATTAACAGATGGAGAGATATTCTATGTTCCTGGGTAGGAAGAATCAATATTGTGAAAATGACTGTACTACCAAATGCAATCTACATATTCAATGCAATCCCTATCAAATTACCACTGGTATTTTTCACAGAACTAGAACAAAAATATTCATAGTTCATATGGAAACACAAAAGACCCCAAATAGCCAAAGTAGTCTTGAGAAACAAGAATGGAGCTGGAGGAATCAACCTTCCTGACTTCAGATTATACTACAAAGCTACAGTCATCAAGACAGTGTGGTACTGGCACAGAAACAGAAATATAGACCAATGAAACAAGATAGACAACCCAGAGATAAACCCACGCACCTATGGGTACCTTATTTTTGACAAAGGAGGCAAGAATATGCAATGGGGCAAAGACACCCTCTTTAATAAGTAGTGCTGGGAAAACTGGACAGCTACATAGAAAAGAATGAAATTAGATCACTACTTAACACCATACACAAAGAGAAACTCAAAATAGATTATAAAGACCTAAATGTAGGACCAGAAACTATTAAACTCATAGAGGATAACATAGGCAGAACACTCAATGACATAAATCAAAGCAAGATCTTCTATGACTCACCTCCTAGAGTAGTGAAAATAAAAGCAAAAATAAACAAGTGGGACCTAATTAAACTTAAAAGCTTTTGCACAGCAAAGGAAACTACACACAAGGTGAAAAGACAATCCTCAGAATGGGAGAAAATAATAGCAAATGAAACAACTGAGAAAGAATTAATTTCCACAATATACAAGCAGCTCAGACAACTCAATACCAGAAAAGCAAACAACCCAATAAAAAAGTGGTAAAGAGACCTGAAGAGACATTTCTCCAAAGAAGACATACAGATGGCTAACAAGCACATGAAAAGATGCTCAACATCACTCAATATCAGGGAAATGCAAATCAAAACTACAATGAGATATTACCTCACACTAGTCAGAATGGCCATCATCAAAAAGTCTACAAACAATAAACGCTGGAGAGGATGTGGATAAAAGGGAACACGCTTGCATTGCTGGTGGGAATGTAAACTGATACAGCCACTATGAAAGATGGTATGGAGACTCCTTACAAAACTAGGAATAAAACCACCATATGACCCAGCAATCCCACTCCTAGGGAAATAAAAACTGAAAAAGACACATGTACCCCGATGTTCACTGCAGCACTATTTACAATAGCTAGAACACGCAAGCAACCTAGATGTCCATCAACAGATGAATGGATAAAGAAGTTGTGGTGCTTTAGTATTCAGTGAAATACTACTCAGCCATTAAATGGAACTCATTTGAATCTGTTCTAATGAGGTGGATGAATCTAGCACCTATTATACAGGGTGAAGTAAGTCAGAAAGAGAAATATAAATATCATATACTGACACATATGTATGAAATCTGAAGAGATGGCACTGATGAATTCATGTTTAGGGCAGCAATGGAGAAACAGGCAGAGAACAGACTTATGGACATGGTGGGAAGAGAGGAAGGAGAAGGGGAAATGTATAGAGAATAACATAGAAATTTACAATACTATATGTAAAATAAATAGCCAATGGGAATTGGCTGTGTGACTCAGGGAACTCAAATGGGGCTCTGCAACAGGCTGAAGGGTGGAATGGGGAGGGAGATGGGAGGGAGGTCTGGGAGGGAGGGGACATGGGTATACCTATGGCTGATTCTTGTTGATGTATGACAGAAAACTACAAAATTCTGTAAAGCAATTATCCTTCAATTAAAAAAAATTTTTTAAAGAAAATGAACCAATAATAAAAAAACATTATATTACTTTTCAATCAAGGAAAATTATTAGTTTTAAGAGCTCTCACATAAAAGCTAAAAAAAAACAATTAACTAATGAAAGAAACTTTTTTGAAGAAGTCACATCTTCAATATTTAAATGTGTGGCTCCAGGAAGTCTAGGTATTTCAAGTCTGTAGATTGGCATTCTAAATTATCTTTTCAGATATTTATAGAAAGATATTTGGCTGGCTTTCATTGTAATGAGAGCCATGAACTAGATTAGAGATACAATTTATTAAACCAAGTTACTTAAGCAAAATATACAAGTTTTAGAGATATAGCTATGCTTTGAGTCAGTTGGTCACATTATTACTCTACTACCCAAAGTGAGTGATAAAAGTTTAAAACATTTTTGACTACTAAGTTATTAATAAAATTTTATTTTCAGTGGTTAAAGTGTAGAACTTCTGGGAAATCTGACACAAAGAATATTTTCACATTTTGCTTTTACTTTTTATATGTTCTTTCTGTTAAAGACTTCTTAGAATTAATCCATTTCAAACTACAGTCAAGAAGTCAAGAAACAATGTTTTGACCCCTTTTACAAACAAAGCACCAGGAATCATAAAAGAAGCGTACAAAAGTATAATCTCATCAATGAATTTAAAAGGAAGTTGAATAAATTAAAAACAAATACAACTATAATGATAAGGTGCACAAATGGCCATTGCAATAAGAGATACCTAAAGTACTGAATTGAGTATTTTTTGAATGAAAGGTTAGTACAAGAAAGCAACAGTTGTAGAGTTAGGTGGAAGATATTAAGAATTAGAGGCTAAGTAACTGAATTTATAAGGTTGTGAACAGACAGTGACCAAAGGCTTGGAGACAGAGATGAGTAGAGGGCAGGGAATGAGCCTTATTGAGGTTAGCTAGCCTTGTTCCTTAGCACAATGCCCAAAAGATCAATGCTTTTGAATAAGAGATGTTCAGTGGAAGAATGTAAATGAATCTACAAAGCAGTGATTTGGAGACTTATTCTGGTTATCCTGGGGATGGGAGAGGCTGATGGCATGATAATACAACAGTCTAGGCACCAAGTAAAGCCAGAAATAGGAGCAGGGAAGATGCAGTGAAAAAAACCTTTCACAAAGGAAAACTGCCCAGAACGGGTGGCAGGCTAGGAGAGAGAAGTGATCACAGATGTCAAACCCCTACAACTGGAAAGTGATGATCCTTCCATCAGAACATGTCAGAACATAGTTTAGGAATGAAGGCACAGATGGATTCTCTTTTACTCATGTTGAGTCCAAAGTAAGACCATATCATTCCTGAAGTTCAGGATAAAACACTGGGATTAAAATGGTGGCAAGAAATGATGGGAAGGCCTCGAGAGGGGTCTGGCTTGGAACTGTTTGCTCAACTGGTTTCAACAGCACACATTCTGGGCTGCTCTACACGTGACTCTACAGCCCAGGCAACTAGCCTTCTATGGTCTTCACACACCAGAAAATGAACTTACCTGAATGTCTGATATCTCGCAACATGTTTCTTGGGCTATGAAGTTCCAGTTACAGTATATCTGAAGTTGGTGAAGTTCAATCTATTAAAAAATTAGTAATAAGACATATCATTAATGTTGTTTGAAAATCACATTTGGGCACTTGAGAATGATGTTAACTGGAAAGAAAAAAATAAGCTAGTACAAATAAATCACTGGCAGATATTTTGGGTTTTATTTCATTTAGGATTCATGATTTTATGGACCATTTCAGAAACAGCAATGGACCTAGTTGTTGAGACAGATATATATGTAAAGAAAATCACATAATAAGAGCAATTGCAAATCTTTGCTCGTTGTTTCAAACCATGAAAAAAAGAAGTATTTAATTAGAGATAATGCACTACAATAAAGTATGCTCACAAAATGAGGAATATTTCAAAGTAAAAAAATTCTGGAGAAAAAGTAAAGTAAAAGGTATGAGCTCATGATGGAAAAGGCTTTATCTGTAGTTCCAGACCTCCAACTTGAGGGACTAAAACAGATGCTCACTTCCCAAGGTGGGGAAAAAAAATGGTATTTAGTTTTATCTATTTTTCATGGATTCTGTTTAATACCTATGGATTTTATGTTATATGGCATACTCCTGGCCAAGACTCACAATCTTTTTGCAAAAATAATTGATTCTTCTCTTTGCTCAGCAAATTCACATTTGTTGGCATTTGGATATGACATTAAAAGTAGTTTCAGGGAATTACAATCATTCCTGTAAAGGCAAGGCCAAATAACCACATCAGAGAAAGCAAACGGTACAGAATATTGACAAAATTTCAATATGACAGATGGGCAGAGGCACTGTTTTAAATTAGTCTATGGTTGCAAATTTAATAATTTATTAATAACATATGATGATTTGACATATAATATAGGCCATAAACAGCCTCTTCCCCCTTGCCTTCTCATCCCCCTCCCCATCTTTCTCTTTCTCTCTCTCCTCTTTTCTTCCCCCTCTTTCTCTATATCCTAATGTAACAGAGGTAGAGTATGTATTTCTTTGAGATCATCATTTTCTACAGTGAGACCCAACTGTAATAACATAACAGTTAATTCTATGATAACAGAAAGCAAATATCTGTGGTTAGCTCGGAATCTCTACCCCAACACCAAAAAAGCAAGAAAGGAGGAAAAAAGCTGTAACTATTCTCTACACTGAAATGAACGGAATAATTTCAGCTCAGAAAGCATTAAGAATGCCAGACGTCTTTCAGATTCATGAGCAGCTTAAGATTTGCAGCCAATGCAAAATTCTGATGAAATGAAAAATGAAACGCAATGATTTCTTCTCTATAACCTTTTCCAAGGTTACTGAAGTAAGCTTTTATTTATAAAGTTTAAATACACTGTCTTACATAGTCTAATGAAACATCAGGCAGTAACATACCCATTATATAGAATGAAGAATGAGGAGACTCCCATTAACATTTTCCTTAACTAAAACTAATTTATCATCAACACTGTTACCTGGATGGTCAATAAACACTGAAATTCTATTATGTGTCATCCACTGTTCTAGGGCCTTCATATGAAGTATTTTACTTAACTGAAGATAAATGACCAATTTTTTATGAATTAGAACCTAATAAAGTACCTATGACACTGCAACTACAATCAGCCTAGTTTAATTATGCTTCTTTAATTCATTAGTTACTTTAGAATCTTTCATTGACACAGTGTTTTATAATAAGAATACACTGACTCTGTCACAAAGAATTTGTTTTAAAAAATACTTTTATCAGTTTTGTCACCTATTTCTCTACACAAAAGCACATGGGTAGTACAGGTGCAATAAAATGCAATCACTAGAAGTTTTTTCAATAAATTACATCCCAAAAAAATGAAACATTTTCACATTACAACAGGTCTTATAAATCACAGGGTTTGTATGGAGATGATAAAAATAATTAGTTTACTTACAGTTTTAGTAGGATTTAGAATCTTTGAAAAATAAAATGTATTTTACTTGCCTAACTTAAATAGTGAATATCTCTTTTAAAAGCTCCATCATTGTGATATTATTTTTAAGTGAACTTAATATTATTAAGTGAATATAATATTATTTTTAAGTGAACTAAGATTCCACATTAAACCAGAAAACCATTGTAAAACTACAATGTTCACAGTGTCTTTTTATCAGGACACCCAACGATATCCTTTAGTCTCAGACTGTTCCCTTGAGTAAGAAGTTAACGAAACACAGGACACAACACTCAACCTACAGAGCAGAGCTCTGAGCCAGAACCCACTCTTGCAATAACTTGTTCCTCTCGCATTGCTGCCTCTCCTTCAAAGGCTAGGCACTTACAGCCTAGTCCTAAAGCTCTTTGGTTCCCGCAGTTCCCCACTTTGCCTTCACTAGCCATGCGGGAAATCAGATTCCACTCAACAGCAGTGCTCCAGCAAGAGCAACCATCACTCCCTACTGCTGTCCTCAGAATTCCCTGAGGATCACTTCCTGTCTGTCTACGCTCCCCCCACTGCTGGAAGTCACACCTCAGGCATAGCTGCTGAGATCCACTTCCCCTCTGACTTTGGAGAGACCTTTCTGAAAGGTCTGCCGAGGACTGTTGCAATTCAGCTCAGCTCAGTCGCTCAGTCGGGTCCAACTCTTTGCGACCCCACGAACCGCAGCACGCCAGGCCTCCCTGTCCATCACCAACTCCTGGAGTCCACCCAAACCCATGTCCAACAAGTCAGTGATGCCATCCAACCACCTCATCCTCTGTCATCCCCTTCTTCTCCTGCCCCCAATCTTTCCCAGCATCAGGGTCTTTTCAAATGAGTCAGCTCTTTGCATCAAGTGGCCAAAGTACTGGAGTTTCAGCTTCAGCATCAGTCCTTCCTATGAACACCCAGGACTGATTTCCTTTAGGATGGACTGGTTGAATCTCCAGTCCAAGGGACTCTCAAGGGTCTTCTCCAACACCACAGGTCAAAAGCATCAGTTCTTCGGCACTCAGCTTTCTTCACAGTCCAACTCTCACATCCATACATGATCACTGGAAAAACCATAGCCTTGACTAGACTGACCACTGTTGACAAAGTAATGTCTCTACTTTTTAATGTTCTGTCTAGGTTGGTCATAACTTTCCTTCCAAGGAGTAAGCATCTTTTAATTTCATGGCTGCAATCACCATCTGCAGTGATTTTGGAGTCCAGAAAGATAAAGTCAGCCACTGTTTCCACTGTTTCCCCATCTATTTGCCATGAAGTGATGGGACTGGATGCCATGATCTCAGTTTTCTGAATGTTGAGTTTTAAGCCAACTTTTTCACTCTCCTCTTTCACTTTCATCAAGAGGCTTTTTAGGTCTTCTTCACTTTCTGCCATAAGGGTGGTGTCATCTGCATATCTGAGGTTATTGATATTTCTCCCAGCAATCTTGATTCCAGCTTGTGCTTCCTCCAGCCCAGCATTTCTCATGATGTACTCTGCATGTAAGTTAAATAACCAGGGTGACAGTAAACAGCCTCGACGTACTCCTTTTCCTATTTGGGACTGGTCTGTTGTTCCATGTCCAGTTCTAACTATTGCTTCCTGACCTGCATATAGGTTTCTCAAGAGGCAGGTCAGGTGGTCTGGTATCCCATCTCTTTCAGAATTTTTCACAGTTTACTGTGATCCACACAGTCAAAGGCTTTGGCATAGTCAATACAGCAGAAATAGATGTTTTTCTGGAATTCTCTTGCTTTTTTGATGATCCAGCAGATGTTGGCAATTTGATCTCTGGTTCCTCTGCCTTTTCTAAAACCAGCTTGAACATCTGGAAGTTCACGGCTCACATATTGCTGAAGCATGACTTGGAGAATTTTGAGCATTACTTTACTAGTGTGTGAGATGAGTGCAATTGTGCAGTAGTTTAAGCATTCTTTGGCATTGCCTTTCTTTGGAGTTGGAATGAAAACTGACCTTTTCCAGTCCTGTGGCCACTGCTGAGTTTTCCAAATTTGCTGACATATTGAGCGCAGCACTTTCACAGCATCATCTTTCAGGATATGAAATAGCTCAACTGGAATTCCATCACTTCCACTAGCTTTGTTCATAGTGATGCTTCCTAAGGCCCACTTCACTTCACATTCCAGGATGTCTGGCTCTAGGTGAGTGTGAGTGTTAACAATTCCTATTGGTGGTCTGCACTCAGATTATTTGTATGGGTTTTCCCATCATTCCACCCATAAGAACATGTGAAGTCATCAAATTTAGATATAGCCGCCCCCCCCCCCCCGTTTTAAAGATAGTGGTTGTGTTTCAATCCAACAGAGCTCTGAAAAACCATTATAAACTAATAAAAAATAGTCTGCAATACAAACACTTGTGAATCTGAGGATGAATAAATAGCCTATTATTCTTGAATGAAAACTTCAGATAATCTGGAACCATTTAACTTCATCTTTTTCCAGTCTTTCTATTCAAAACATATGAACTTAGATCAAACTTATGTGTATGTATGCATTAGTTGCTCAGTCATGTTTGACTCTTTGCGACCCCATGGACCGTAGCCTACCATGGAATTCTCCAGACAAGAATACTGGAATGGGTTGCCATTCCCTTCTTCAGGGGATCTTCCCAACCCAGGGATCAAGTCCAGGTCTCCTGCATGGCAGGTAGATCCTTTACCATCTGAAGTACCTGGGAATCCCAGATCAAGCTTAGTTTTGTATAATATTTTCAATTTTTACTAAAATTTAATTTTAATAACTTATTTTAAGGCATTACCTAGTTCTTTCAAATTCACAGGCTAGAGAAAAATAAGTGAAAACAGATAGAAAATAATATATGTGAAAATATGACTGGAAATACATAGCTATGCTTCACACATCTGATAGCAAATTAAGCAGTGCTAAGAAAGAAATATCTTACATAGCTACTAAAGGCAAAAAGGTTTTAATAAGACATTTTCTTTAAATTTATAAATGTTACTAGTTCACAACTCACATCCACAGGTTTGCCATCTGAAGCTCGGGCAGCAATAACAGTCCTTCCACGGAAGTCCACCGTACTCTTTGCATCAGTATGCCGGCTTGCAACTAAGTTACAATCCACAAAGAGCGAAATGGCCTGGGATTGTATACCAAAGCCAAGTTTATGCCACTGACGATTAAACAAAGAACGGAGTTCTTGATTTTTAAAAATGTAGTTCAACACATCTCCCTCGGCAGCTTGGAACATCAATTCCACCACCTTCCTTCCACCATCAACTATTACAGAAACCTGCAAAAATGCAAATGATCTTTAATGTTTGAAATTAAGTTTTAAAAATTATTAAAGATACAAATAAAAACTCAAGTTGCATGTTAGTAGAACTGGGGCGCTCAGTAAAATGTTCTAAATGACATTTGTGTCCATCAGGTTTCTTAAGATAAAAGAACAGTAAACATCCAGCTACAAAAATTATTTAAATATGTGGTATTTGGTGAGTGTAGTATGCTCCTTTTGTGAGAGGACATCTAGGAGTATATACACGTGTGTGTGTGTGTATAAAAATCTCTGTATAAGTAATTCAAGAATTAAATGCCACTAATTTTAAAAGAATAAGAGATGATCACTTCCCTTAGCATGGAAACTGAGATCAACCTCGTTAACCTTTGATGATTTGCATGGTGCAGAGAAAATACGTTTTCCCAGAGTGCATATTCTTCCTGTTCAAGTCATATTTCCATCATAAAATTGTGACTATAATAACAGATATAAAAGATCATTAAAATGAAAAACATTTTTTAAATTTTTAATTAATTAATTTTAATTGGAGGCTAATTACTTTACCATATTGTGGTGGTTTTTGCCATAGACTGACATGAATCCGCCACAGGTGTACATGTGTTCCCCATCCTGAACCCCCCTCCGACCTCCCTCCCCACCCCATCCCTCAGGGTCATCCCAGTGCATCAGCCCTGAGCACCCTGTCTCACGCATTGAGCCTGGGCTGGAGATCTGTTTCACATACGGTAATAAAAACATTTTGATGGATATGTACAGAAATAAACACAGATAGATGATGCCCATCAGTAACTGTGATGTTCACCTTCACTCCCTGGAGTACCTGCTCCCTTCCTTTCTGATCAACCTCTCTAACAAGTATTCCTAGATCCCTGCTCGCCTCATGGCCATCTGGGGGAGCTGTCTTTTCCACACTCCCACAATTCTCTCCCAATTCCAAACTGTCCTCAGCCACCATAACCCTGCAATCGTGCTCCAATGTGGCATCCCCAGACCTTAGGCTCCCTGAGAACAGAAATCAAGCTTTGCCAATTTCTTATTTTGTCACCAACTAGCATCTAGCATGTGTTCAATTATTTTCTATTGATGGAATCAATATTTATATCTCATTCCCTAATTCATTAGGGATTTCAGATGAAACAATTAACAGCTTTTAAATATATAATAGGAGATATCAGAAATGATAGGAGATGAAGAAGTTGTGAGATACACTTGGTGTCAATGAAGCAGTTATAAAGCAAGGGCAACCAGTTTGAGTGTCTTCAGACAAGACAGGAATCCAGAAAAAACAAAACAAAACAAAACTCAATCTTGTCTCACCCACCAGGCTCTCCAATTACATATCTCAGTGAGAGCCCCCTAACTCTAAGAATACTTACATTTTCTGTGGATGATTCCTCTAAAAGAATACTCCGATATGAGGTCTGCTCCCAAATTTATGCCCACAGTTTCAAGCGACAACACTCATCAGCATACCTCTCTGGTTCCGTCCTTACCTGTGGCATATTACGCTGGTTTAAAACCTGCCACAGGAACCACCGTTCCTTCTTCGCGCTCCTTCGCACCCGAAACATGGCAGCTATGGCGAACTCCTCAGGAAGGCCTTTGGGAAATATCTTACTGTGGGAGGAAAACAAAGAACCATTGTGTGCAAACTGAAGCAGGCAAGAACAGAGTATCTCAGTATGAAGGTTTCTGCAACTCAGTATCTCAGCCGTATTTTCTCAATGAATTTACAACTCATTACAGACATCTACCTAATGAATATGGAAGCAGTCACAGCTACAGTTACCTATGGAATTTTTATCCTGTTCTTTCCCTTTTTATAAATTTCCTGATAAGTGTTGCTAAAGCTTGAGGTGTGTAAAAGCAAGCAACTTTCAGACTACTGTACTATGGGGTGATATTCCTTCAACATGATATTCCCATAGAATCTTAGAATTCACTGCAGTCTTGCAAACAGTAGACACTTATAAAGAAAATAAATAATACCTCCTGGTTTTATTAGTAGAGAGAAGTACAGGGCATTTTAAAGAGCACTATTAACAATTACATGTATATTATTCCAAAGAAGTTTTACCATGTTAAACTCTTGCAAAATAAATTCCTAATTCTGATTTCCTAGTAGGTATCAATTTAAGACTGAAATTAAATATCATAAAGGCATTTTAGCTCATTTTTTCATTCCTACAGAAAATTAAAATATGCAAATTTTTCCTAGGTAGCAGAGAAACCTAAAGTCAGTCCAAGTATGCTTTTGCCTCAATCTTGTTTCAAAATACTGGTCTCACTGGATCTATGAAGAAACTTCAGGGAAAAAATTCACAGTGAACACACATCATATTTAAACTTTCATTTGAAACCATGGAGAAATACATTCCTTCATGTTGACTTTTAAACTTATCCACATTGTATATAAACACTCTGTAAGGCAGGAATCTTGCTTTTCTTTTAAGAAATCATGAGTAGCAGATACAAATTCTCTTGAGGCTAACACAGCCAGAGGTTGTTTATATAAATAAAATATCATATACTGAGATAGGAACTACTAACTGGGACTTGCCTGGTGGCTCAGACTGTAAAGAATGTGCCTTCGGTGCAGGAGACCTAGGTTTGATCCCTGAGTCAGAAAGATCCTCTGGAGAAGGGAATGTCAACCCACTCCAGTATTCTTGCCTGGAGAATTCCATGGACAGAAGACCCTGGTGGGCTATGGTCCATGGGGTTGCAAAGAGTCAGACACTGGGAATATCACACCAAGCTCCACTGAAACTGACAACCAAACTGATGGAAAACTCTGAAACTTTTGTTTTACACTTTGTGTTAGAGACAAAGTCACATGTAGTAAGGAAATCAGGAAAAAATATGAAAAAGGTATGCTAGCCTAAAGTTCTTACTTGGTTAAATACATATACACACACATATTATGCATATATGTATATGTTCATGCATGTACACAAGCATACCTCAAGAATATTGCAGGTTTAGTTCCAGATTACTAGAATGAAGTGAATATCACAGTAAAGCGAGTCACACAAATTTTCTGGTTGCCTATTGTATGTAAAAGTTGTACTTACACAATACTGTACTCTATTATATCTATACCTGGCATTATATCTAAAACATACATAAAATGTTATTGCTAAGAAAAAATGCTAGCCACCATCCGACAACACACATATGTCACAAACCTTCAATATGGAAAAAAAGAAAAATCAGTAATATCTGTGAAGCACAGGAAAGCGAAGCACAATAAAAGGAGGTTGGTCTGTATATAGGCAGATACAGATATAAACTCTAGTTTTAGCTTCTTCACTAATCTGCTTACCCCCAGCCTGGAGGCTATCTGGCTCTCTTGTCTGGCTGGATGATGAATGAGGAAGTAACTCAGGGCCTCATTTTCATCGCGCGCCCGTGCCCGCGCACACACACACACACACCCTTTCCAGCCTCCACAGAGGCGCTCTGACTCCTCCCTGGGTTGAATCTCTCCTGGTGCACATACACACACACACGCACGCACACACACCCTTTCCAGCCTCCACAGAGGCACCCTGATTCCTCCCTGGGTTGAGCCTCTCCGGTGCCTGGGGAAGCACCCCGGCCCATGTGCCAACAGCGCCTACCTAGCAGTTTCCTCCTCTAAGTGTTTGTGACTCCACGGCTTCCTGTCTTCCGAGAATGTATCATCTCTTCCTCTGTTGCTTCATCTCCCATTCTACAGCCATTTTTGTACTTCAGATGTTAAAACTCCGTTTATGTCTCCCACCTCTCCCTCACCAATACCCGTCTTATCTTGGTTTACAAATATATGCATATCTTCACCCTCTTCCCTGCTGTAAAACAGACAAAGCTCTCTCCATCCTCACTACAGCATTATATTAATATTACCTGTATATATCCGTCAAACCTCTTAAATGAGTACTGGGAACACCTACACTGTCAAAGGCCTCAGTTGTTAGACTTCCTGCAATCTGGAAGCATCGCTCTCTGCTCTCGCAAGGATGCTCAGCCCACTCCTTCCCGCGATGACCATCACGTGATACAGCCTCATCCAATCAGCAGGTTGCTGTTTTTCCAGCCAAATAAAAGAACTCTCCTCAGCGGACCTTCAAGTGGCAGCAACCTCCTGAGGCGAGCTCCAGACGAGCTGGGAGCTGCTGCAGCCACTGATGGCAAAGACAGACCAGCCTGTTCATTCAACTGCCATATGACCCAGCAATCCCACTGCTGAGCATACACACTGAGGAAACCAGAATTGAAAGAGACACGTGTACCCTTGTTCATTGTAGCACTGTTCATAATAGCCAGGACATGGAAGCGACCTAGATGTCCACTGCAGACGAATGGATAAGAAAGCTGTGGTACATATATGCAATGGAATATTCAGTTCAGTTCAGTTCAGTCACTCAGTCGTGTCTGACCCTTTGAGAACCCATGAATCGCAGCATGGCCAGGCCTCCCTGTCCATCACCAACTCCCAGAGTTTACTCAAACTCATGCCCATCGAATCGGTGATGCCATCCAACCATCTGATCCTCTGTCGTCCCCTTCTCCTCCTGCCCCCAATCCCTCCCAGCATCAGGGTCTTTTCCAATGAGTCAACTCTTCACATGAGGTGGCCAAAGTATTGGAGTTTCAGCTTCAGCATCAGTCCTTCCAATGAACACCCAGGACTGATCTCCTTCAGGATGGACTGGTTGGATCTCCTTGCAGTCCAAGGGACTCTCAAGAGTCTTCTCCAACACCACAGTTCAAAAGCATCAATTTTTCAGCACTCAGCTTTCTTCACAGTCCAACTCTCACATCCATACATGACCACTGGAAAAAACCATAGCCTTGACCTGATGGACCTTTGTTGGCAAAGTAATGTCTCTGCTTTTTAATATGCTATGTAGGTTGGTCATAACTTTCCTTCCAAGGAGTGTCTTTTAATTTCATGGCTGCAGTCACCATCTGAAGTGATTTTGGAATATTACTCAACTATTAAAAAGAATGCATTTTAATCAGTTCTAATGAGGTGGATGAAACTGGAGCCGAATATACAGAGTGAAGTAAGTCAGAAAGAAAAACACCAATACAATATATTAACACATATATATGGAATTTATGATGACCCTATATGTGAGATAGGAAAAGAGACACAGATGTAAAAAACAGACTTTTGGACTCTGTGGGAGAAGGTGAGGATGGGATGATTTGAGAGAATAGCATTGAAATGTGAAGTAGATCGCCCGTCCAGGTTCAATGCATGAGACAGGGCACTTAGGGCTGGTGCACTGAGATGACCCAGAAGGACAGGATGGGATGGGATGGGAAGGGAGGTGGGAGGGGGTTCAGGATGGGGGACACATGTACAACCATGACTGATTCATGTCAATGTATGGCAAAAACCATCACAATATTGTAATTAGCCTCCAATTAAAATAAATTAATTAAAAAAGAAGTTAATATAAGAACTAGATGCACTTATCTCCAAATGGAATTTCCACCCATAATGAATAACTCTGGGACTTGTACTGTTCGCAGAACCCATCAGAAATGTCTCCTTTGAAATTCTAGAAGTATCCCTGCTGTGAAAGCTTGCCAAATTTTTGTTTGTTCGTTTCATGTTTTGTCTCTGCTTTTAATTGGAAAACAATGAAATAATGAAACGATAACCCCCTTTTAAACTTTAAGTCCTCCTCACCCAGACATTGGCAAGCTGGTCATTTGAAGCATGTGGAATATTGAAGCACCGTCTGTCACTCCACACTCACACTAAAAAGATGACCTCCTTCTCTTTCCGTTTCCACCATTCCTGTGCCTAAATCTCCTCCAATGAGAAAACTGACAACCCTGGGCACTCTGGTTGCGCACCCCTGCATCAAGTGCCCGCGTCCTGAGCACCTTTGAGCCACTTCAGGAACAGCTGTCAGGTGGGATCTGACAAAGATTTTAGGCCAAATCTTGGCCTTGGGAAGGGTTTTCTGGGTAACTCTTGAAGAAGGCGAGTTGAAAATGCTGTGGGCGAGGCCATGGTCACCATCACCTGGATGGAGGAGAAGTCAAGTGACCCACCAGACAGCACAGTGGCTGCAGTGAACTGAATACTGCAGGAAGATGTCACTGGCGCCACAGAAGAGGCTGGAGGCCAGGTGGAAGGCCCGGCTGACATATCCTGAGAAGGCCCTTTTACCCTCGATGCGGACCGAGGAGGGAGCACTAATCGAGGGAGTGGAAGAGCAGGGTCTTTCCCAAGCTGCTGGGGGCTGAGACCGCGCTCGGGGAGGACTGGCCAGAATGGAGCGTCATTCCATCCAAGGGACAGGGTGCACAGTGGTTCTGCAGGATGCTCCGGCCACCCAACCCTGGGCTTGTCTCCTTCCTCCACACTCCAGACCCAGCGTGCTCGGGACGTGGGGTCCGGCCCCAGAGGACCGTGTCCTGAGCCACCGTCCCTGGAGTCCAGCCCCAGAGAACTGTGTCTCGGGGCATGGTCCTTGAGCTCCTCCTCCCCGACCCAAGCTCCCACAAGGCAAGGCCGCAACCTCCGCCACTCCCACCTCGGTGCAGCTCCAGGGTGAGTATCTCCCGCGGACCAGTGCTGCTGGAGTCCAGACGACTCAGAGTTCCGCTCC